GTCATCTCATGAATGCTGCTGGACGCTTTCACCTGTCTTCTGATCTGAAGGAGCATTCAACACTGCAGTGCATTCTAGAGTGTTGGATTGCATATGTCTATATGCCCGTCTCCAACTTGGGTACCAATCTGACTCTGCCCTTGCTGGCGATGTGACTTTGGGCAAGTTCTTTAGTCTCTTAATCTATGTCTCACAGTTCCTTTTCTGTCATAAGGGACAGTAACATTAGTAACACACACCTGACAGTGTTGCTATGAGCACTAAATGACTGTTATTAGATATACATACATATAATTTAAAAATATAGTCATGTACATATAGCCTAAGATGAATATATTATGTAAATGAAGAGAGAGAGAGAGAGAGAGAGCGAGAGAGCGCAGAGTGCACTGAAAACATCTGGCCCACGGCAAGTATCCAGAAGTGTGAGCTTTTATTCTCACATCTCTGAACTTCTGCTTTCTGCTCTTCCCCGTTATTCCTAGCCCGTCTGCCCCAGACCCCTCTCCCTGCCCCCGCACACCTCCACCTGCCCTCCACACTCCACTCTCTTTCCCCATTGCCTGTTTCCTCTCACTCTGGACCTGAATAAATGGAAACCATTTTCTCATGATGTAGCTCAGAAAATATTAGTACCAATATTTTTTGGTACTTTCATCCGATCAAAAATGAATTTACTTTTTTGAGACAGGGTCTCATTCCCACTGCCCAGGCTAGACTGTAGCGGTGCATTCATTTCTCACTGCAGCCTTGACTTCCTGGGCTCAAGTAATCCTCCCACCTCAGACTCCTGAGTAGCTGGGAATACAGGCACGAGCCACCATGCCCAGCTTATTTTTTTATTCTTGTAGAGACACGGTCTCACCATGTTGCCCAGGCCGGTCTCAAACCCCTGGGTTGAGGAAATCCTGCTTTAGCCACCCAAGATTCTGGGATTACAGGCGTGAGCCATCATGCCTAGCCAACAATGAATATTAATGGTAGAGGTAATCAACACAAGATACAACAGACGAGGTGAATAGTATACATAAAATAAGGCCGGGCGCGGTGGCTCACGCCTGTAATCCCAGCACTTTGGGAGGCCGAGGCGGGTGGATCACGAGGTCAAGAGATCGAGACCATCCTGGTCAACACGGTGAAACCCCGTCTCTACTAAAACTACAAAAAATGAGCTGGGCATGGTGGCGCGTGCCTGTAATCCCAGCTACTCAGGAGGCTGAGGCAGGAGAATTGCCTGAACCCAGGAGGCGGAGGTTGCGGTGAGCCGAGATCGCGCCATTGCACTCCAGCCTGGGTAACAAGAGCGAAACTCTGTCTCAAAAAAAAAAGAAAAAAATAATAAAAATAAATAAATAAATAAAATGCCACTAATGAAAATTAACTGCTAACAGCTTTGTATCTCCATCGGATTCAGATCTTTACAATTTGATGGAGGAGAGTTGGACTTAATACAACTAATAGCAATAGAACGATCATACGATAATAATTTTTGGCCTTTAAACTTCACTCTTTAAAATGTTTCTAAAAATTTATATGCTTTTGTGCTACGATTATCCAATGCCCACTTACTTGTCCAAGCATTATACAAGTCACAGGGAGAGGTCACTAGAGTTCTAATTTCCTAGAGGAATTTCCATTCAAAGTTTCCATACAAGCTCATGAGGATGAAACCCCAGCATTGCATTTAGGCTCCACAATATCCTGTAGGGAGAGCTGAATATTCATTATGCTAATAAAATATGCCTTCCCCCCGCCCCACAGACTCAGATCTTGAGTCCCTGAAGAGCTGAAGAGACAATCTACACATCATCCAAGGGGTCGAAGGTAGATTTGACATTTGTGTCTCCAGAACATGCTCCAGGGAAATGAGGGAACAGCAACAAAAACAGCTTAGAATTGGTTGGAAACTTACCATATGCCAAGGACTGTCCAGACAGCTGTACTTGTCTTCACACAGTCAGTGCTCTAAACTGCCCCAAGGAGTAGATGACGTTACTAGTAGTATTTTCATGGGACTAATGGAGAAAGAAGGCACAGAGATGTTAAGGAACTTTCTCAGCATCACCCAGCAGTGAGTGGTGGAGCCAAGGGCCACGGGCATGATGAATGCTCTGCTGTGCTGCGTATTTGTGCAATCAAGGGTAAGATCCAAAGGCTACTGTAAAATATTTAGAATTTTACAACATGGGACTTCACAGGCAACAGACATTTGATTTCTTCACAAATCTTTAAGAGATGGAGACTTGAAAGGATTGGTTTGGGTATCATTTGGAGATGGTGCCCTGAGTGTGTCATTACCACAACAGGCAGCATGTCAGTGTCGGTCTCCTCACCTGAAGGTCTTGGGTTTATACATCAGAGAACACACGAAACCTGTCCCTGCTATACCTTCACAAAGGAGAAAGATGCTGTGTAACTGGGAAAGGAGACTATTCCCCTGCTCTAGTATCGCTCAGACATGTTTCCATGAAGTTAGAACTTAGGATCTTAAAAGTGCAGATTCCAAGGCCCGGCACGGTGGCTCAAGCCTGTAATCCCAGCACTTCTGGAGGCCGAGGCGGCTGGATCATCTGTGGTCGGGAGTTCAAGACCAGCCCGACCAACATGGAGAAACCCCATCTCTTTTAAAAATACAAAATTAGCCAGGCATGGTGGCATGTGCCTGTATTCCCAGCTACTCGGGAGGCTGAGGCAAGAGAATTGCTTGAACCCAGGAGGTGGAGGTTGCAGTGAGCCGAGATCATGCCAGTGCACTCCAGCCTAGGCAGACAGCAAAACTCTGTCTCAAAAAAAAAAAAAAGTGTAGACTCCAGGAATCACACCCAGTGAATCTCAAGTAGTGTGGCCACAATGGTGTCCTAGGATCTGGAAATTTGCTGCTCAGCCTAAGGAACTTTCAGAAAGCTTATTAAATCCCTTTGGTAGCAAGGCTGTCTGTCTCTTCCCAGGACAGACATGAGGTTGGGAAGTGACCTTAGAGCACACAGAACACAGGACATGATGAACTCAGTGTGAGACTCACCATAAGGGTAAGGCAGAGGGACTTCTGAGAAGGCCTCACAACGCCATCTGGCCTTTCTCCTTGAAGGCCTCAGTTTATCTCGAATCCCTTCGCTTCATGGGCAGTGAATGAAGGGGTGCCAGGAAATGACCTTTTAGATCCCAAAATGGCATGGAGTCCTCTCAGGGACCATTGAACACACAGGACAGGCGGAGACGCAAGCTACTGTCCCCCTCCCACCAGCCTTGGTTTCCTTCTTGCACTGTCATTTCCTTCCATGGGAGCCTAGAGCAATGACAGGACTTAGGGCCAATGTCTTCCCTTCACTAACAGACACCTGCCCCTCACCTGAGGAGTTCGACTCCCTTCTCCTCCCTTCAGCTGTCCTTCTCCTTCTCCCACAGCAGACAGCTGTCCTTGGCAGCCTGACAACCTAGCCTGGCCCCTTCCTCCCGTGTCCCAGCCTGGAGAGGGCTGTGCTCGCCAAGGAGGACATCAGTCCCAGGATCCCAGAGCCATGACCACCACAGAACCATCCTGAGCATCAGTGTCCTATGGCAGTGGCTGCCCTTTGACATGAAGCTTCACCACCCACCACGGCTGGCCTTGAAACATTTTCTTATCACAGAAAGTAACACAGAGGAACAAGGTTCCCACAACCCCTCCTGGGGAACATTGTGTCCTTCCCCATGTTACCGTGCTGTTTCCTCTGTACAGACTGCAACATTCCTATCCTTTTGATGTAATTAAGAAATTCTAGGATACTTCTTTTAAATCCTAAACTTGTGGTTTATAGTCAGAATATCATCACCACTTTGGGGCATTTTGGAAATTTCCAAGGGCAGCTTTGGATGTTCGCATAACTAGAAGCAGCTCCTGGCATTTGTGGGGTGAAGGTTACAGGGAGGCAAACAACTTTTTCCAGCGTCTTAAGTAAACTGGATTTTTTTCCATACACATCACTTCCCTGTGAACTGAGGGAGGATTGTGTGTTGCTTCACCTGGAAATTTAGAAAGATTTATTGATTGCTTTAGAAATCACATCACTTGCAGGGCATTCCATTCTTGGATTCCACTCTGACACAACATACCAATTATCAGTTTGCTTCGTAGCTCTGCATGCCTGGGGGAAACAGTAAGGGGAATCCAACTTACCTACCAAAGGAGTCATTTCCAGGATAAGTTGTTCGTCATTGGGGAAATCAAGCGGGAGATGCTGGTAGTGTGATCTCTTGTGAGTTGATGAACACACCAGCTATGCCTGTTGTTGTTACTGCACTGAAGCTCTCTTTGCAGGTGTATCTCCCTCACCAGGCTCCGTGGTCTCTCCTGGAACGTTGGAAACATACCCAGTAGATCCCTGTGTCCTCAGGGTGGGATAGGTGACCTCACAGGCAGAAGGAGGACAGGGAACACTTGTGGAATTGTAGTGGTCTCTACATGGCTGGATGACCAAATGCTGAGTCACAGTGATGAGCCCTATGGATGGCGGTCTGCAGAGGGTGGGAGGGGAACGCCACAAGCCTCTGCTTTAGGAGCCATGCAGCAGAGTGAGAGCAACCTGCAGTACTGATCTCAGTTATGCCCTTTAAGGGTCCCGGATGTAGGCAGCCTATTGGTTAGGGTTCCTCTGTGTGTGGGTGTGTGGAGAGAGAGAGACAGAGACAGAGACAAAGAGAGCATTTACTGGCTCATCTAACTGTGGAGGCTGTAAGTCTAAATTGTACAGAGCAGACTGTCAGACTGGAGACTGAGGGAAGAGGTGATGTAGCTCAAATCCAAGGCAGTCTGGTGGCACAATTTCTTTCTTCGGGGGGATGGGAGTCTTTTTTTTCTCTAAGTCTTTCAAGTGATTGAATGAGGCCCAGCCACATCATGGAGTGTAATTTGTATTACTCAGTCTACTGATTTTAATATTAGTCTCATCTTAAAAAACACCTCCATTGAGACAGCTAATCTGGTGTTAGAACAAATCCACGTGTACTGTGGCCTTGTCAAGCTTACACATCAAGTTTACCATCACGGCCAACTAATACAAATCCCTGTAACCATGAAGGTCTATCTTAGAAAGGCAAGTGAGTTCCTAACAGATTGTGTATGAGCCTTTTTTTGTCCAGCCCAAGCCTCCATTTCAGGCTCAGCACCAATCTGGCCAGGAAGCTGAAGCTGACGTGAATGCCTTCCAGGGATGAGGCAGTGTCAGGACAGTCAGGGCCCACATGTAAATACAATCCCAGAAGGCACACATGGTACCCCTGGACACCAAGACTTTACCCTTGTTAGCGCACCCCTAGCAGGACATAGGCAGGAGCTGGCAAAGGCCCCCAATGTACCATCCCACAGTGGGACCTTTCCCTCCAGGGTTCCTCATCCAGTCCAAACAACTCATTTGCCTCCTTGGTTTCAGAGGGACTAACAGAGGGCAGGCAGTCCGGGTTCTGTTAACCATTGACACCAGTTCCTCCTCTTCACAAGCATGAATGACATTTGTAGACATTCTGCATGGGATGTTCAGTAGCTGGGTTGACCCTGCTGACCCCTAGTTGCAGCTCTGTCAGGTGCAATTGTGCACTCATCAGTCAGTATGATTTCCACATACAGCAATTTGGGAAGGCTGAATAGGGAGCATTTTTTCAGGAAAAGGGGAAGGTTTTCAGGAACCATTTTGAAAAACAGAGATTACCATGTCCTCACTCTCTGGCTGTACCCTTTCCAGGTGTCAGGTTTTGTGCTTTTTTAATTGTTAAAAAATCAGTGTGTACCATTCTGTAATCAAAACTTTCCATTTCTTGCAAATCAAAACTATGATGAGATTATCATCTCGCCCCAGTTAAAATGGCTTATATCCAAAAGACAGGCAATAACAAATGCTGGTGAGGATGTGGAGAAGGGAACCGTCATATACTCTTAGGGGGAATGCTAGTTAGTACAACCATTATGAAGAACAGTTTGGAAGTTCCTTTAAAAACTAAAAATAGAGCTACCGTATGATCCAGCAATCCCGCTGCTGGGTATATACTCAAAAGAAAGGAAATCAGTATATAGAAGAGATATCTGCACTCCCATGTGTGTTGCAGCTCTGTTCACAGTAGCCAAGATTTGGAAGCAACCTAAGTGTCCATTAAAGAAAATGTGATACTACTATTCAGCCATAAAAAAGAATGAGATCCAGTCATTTACAACAACATAAATGGAACTGGAGGTCATTATGTTAAGTGAAATAAGCCAGGCACAGAAAGACAAACATCACATGTTCTCACTTATTTGTGGTGTGTAAAAACTAAAATAATTGAACTCATAGATATAGAGAGTAGAAGGATGGTTACCAGAGGCTGGGAAGGGCAGTGGGGAGTGGTGGGGAAGTGAGGATGGTTAATGGTTATAAAAAACAGAATGAATATAACCGACTATTTGATAGCACAACAGGGTGATTATAGCCAATAATAACTTAATTGTACATTTTAAAATAAAAGAGTATAATTGGATTATAACACAAAAGATAAATGCTTAAGGGTATATGTGTGATTATTACATATTACATGCCTGTACCAAAATATCTCATGTACCCCATAAATATATACACCTACTATGTAGTACCCACAAAAATTAGAAATAAAATATAATTTACAACTAAAATTTCAGGTGATTTCAAACATACATGAAAGATAGAGAATGAGAGAAGAAGGATGGTAAAGTATTCTGAAATTTCATTTTGTTTGAAAGAATGGAATTTTTATAAATATTAATTCACAAATCTGATAATAATTATTGGCATATATATGTACGTTTATTTAAAATATGTATTTATCTTTAACACTAGTAGGACATAAATCACATCAATATCTTTCTTTTTTTTTTTTTTTTTGAGACGGAGTCTTACTCTGTCGCCCAGATTGGAGCGTGGTGGCACGATCTTGGCTCACTGTAACCTCCACCTCCGGGTTCAGCCAATTCTCCTGCCTCAGCCTCCCAGGTAGCTGGGACTACAGGCGCCACCACCACACCCAGCTAATTTTTTGTATTTTTAGTACAGGCAGGATTTCACCATGTTAGCCAGAATGGTCTCGAACTCCTGACCTTGGGATACGCCTGCCTCAGCCTCCCAAAGTGCTGGGATTACAGGCATAAGCTACTGTGCCCGGCCAGTATCTTTCAAACCAATAGAAGAGGGTAAAAGAAAATTAAGCTCCATCAATGTTGCAACAGTTAAGAGAAGAAATCTGAAATATTTTTGAAAAGATAGTAAATGGGAAATACAAGCCTAATGTATCAGTGACCTTATAGATATGAATTGATTAACTTCATTTGTTAAAAGACAGAAATGATCAGATTCTGTGTTAAAATCCAGACATATGTTCATAAAATAAGATATCCTTAAAGTACTTAAGGTAAATGGATGGAGAGAGATAGAGCCAAACAAGTATTAATTTTTTTAAAAAGTAGGTGTGGCAATACTAATGTCAAATATAGTGGAATTCATAGTAGCAATATTAAATAGAATTTAAAACACTTTCATATTTATAAAAGTTTCGATAAACCAACAATATATTCATAGTGATTAGCTCTCGCATATCCATATAACTGTGTAAGAATATTATTACCAAAAAACCTATTAGCTAATCTGACTTACTAATTAATATAGGTGAAAAAATCTTACATAAATATTACTTATTCATTTGACAGTGCAGTAAATGAATAACACACTATAACCAAATCAGATGTTAGAAGCATCAGCTGGTGTAACATTAGAAAGTGAATTAATGGGTAGGCACAGGGGATCATGCCTATAAACCTAGCACTTTGGGAGGCCGAGACAGGAGGACTGCTTGAGACAAGAGTTCAAGACCAACCTGGCCAAATAGCAAGACCCCATTTCAAAAAACAAATGAAATTTTTAAAAACTTATAAATATATTTAGAAAAAGTCAGGCTGGGTATGGTGGCTCATACCTGTAATCTCAGCACTTTGGAAGGTCGAGGTGGGTGGATCACTTGAGGTCAGGAGTTCGAGACTAGCCTGGCCAACATGGTGAAACCCCATCTCTACTAAAAATAAAAAAATTAGCTGGGCACAGTGGTGGGCACCTGTAATCCCAGCTACTCGGGAGGCTGAGACAGGAGAATCGCTTGAACCTGGGAGGTGGAGGTTACAGTGAGCCAAGATCATGCTATTGCACTCCAGCCTGGGTGACAGAGATTCCATCTCAAAAATAAATAAATAAGTTTTAAAAAGAAAGTAAATTAATGTAAGTAATGATATATTAATGAGTTTGAAAAATAGTCTCAATAGATATTATAAAGATACTTGATGAAATTCAATATATACTTTGAATAAAATCAAATATCTCTTTTTAAAAAAAACCTTTCCATTTCTTTAATTATCCTCTACCATCCTCTAGACCTTTTCTCTGAAATAATCATATGCAAGAGGGACAAAAGAATTTTCAAAGAAAAAAATTTTAATAAATCAACCAAAATACAAATCATGTTCAGAAACTGATCAGGATGAAATTCCAGATTTAAAAACAAATTTAAATAGATTTGCATAACTTTTTATCCCTTTTGTCTCTATCATTTATCTAGTGAGCAGCCTGGAAAAGCTCAATGCTTTACTGGTAACAGCTGTATTAAATGGTCAACGTGCCTTACCAAGGTGTGTGCACCAGGGAAACAGAGCCAGGCTATTAGTCCTCTGTTATGCAGAGGCCAAAGGCCTTGGTGCTTTAAAGGTTCACTGGAAACGACTAACATAAAGGTAGATTAATAGGAGAAAAGGCATACAAACTTACTTAACATGTATACATGGGAGCCTTCAGAATTAAGATCCAAAGATACAGGGGACATTGTCCATTTTCATGTTTAGGTTCACCAAAGTATGGACAGCCATGAAGAAATATTATTGAACAAAAAGGGTAGGAGCTAATGCAAATAGACTGAGTGGGGAAACCCAGCAAGGCCCGTGTGTCTGGACTCTTCTAGGCCTTTCTGAGCAGCATTCCTTCCTTCTGAGTGTGGGACAGAACCGTCTCCAGAATGGGATCGGGGTCTTACGACCTACAGTCAAACAAGGTAGGTCAGATCATTTCTTTATGACCCACTTTTTTTTTAATTTCCCACTGGCAATATAATACGGCCAACTTTTACATAGAAAGGCAGAGGGAAAATTAGTCATATTTTCAAGTTTGACAACTAGCTTTGGGGAAAAGGAATTCTGGTTTCTATGGCCTGCCTTGGGGAAGAGGGATCCTAGTTTCTATGGCTAGCTTCGGGAGAAAATGAGGCTGAGAGACAGGAGGGCAGGAGAAGGTCAAAGAAAAACTTTTTCTTCTG